GGGTGCAGGGTCAGCTGCCACTGCGTGAAGAACTTGGTCTCACACATGTCACAGGAGAAGAGAAAGATCCCGATGTGGGACAAAACGTGAGTGACCCTGGAATTGCGGTCCTGGAAGTGGGTCTCGCAGACCTTGCAGTTCCCCGTGAGCAGGTCCACGTGCTCCCGCGCGTGCTGCCGGATCAGCTGGATGTTGGGCTCCAGGATCTTCTTGCACACCTGGCAGGGCATGGCCTTGCTGTCCCTGCTGTCGCTCTCGAAGGCCAGCTCCTCCTCGCTGTCGTCGCTCAGCTCAATAACCTCTTCCGCGGGGCCCAGCTCCTCGCTGGCATCTTCGAAATGCAGCTCGTCCTCCCCCAGGTCCTCCAGCCGGAGCTCGTCCATGTGCCCGAATCCCGGCTCTTTGGAGTGGTCGCTGTTGCTGGGACACGAGTTGCTCCCCATGGAGATGTCCAGGGAGGCGTCGGCCGCGAAGAAGCCGCCCTTGCCGTAGTCGCCATTGCTCTGGACTTTGAACTGCTGGCAGGAGCCCGGGGCGCTTTGGAGGACAACGTTGACGGCGCCCAGGCCGGGCTGGGCGGCCACGCTCGTGGCAGGAACAAACTGCCCCTGTTCCGCTTCCTGCTCCATCTTCGGAGGCTGCTGAAGCACGAGGGGAAGAGTCTGGCCGGCTTCATTCCCGGGATTCCGGTCGTCCTCTTTGTAGCCGCCTGCCACCTCTCCAGGCAGGACGTAACTCCGTTCCGAGGCAAAGGGCTCCCTGCCGCTCCGCATCTCCTCCAGGGAATGTTTCTGCTCCGAGGCGCTGCAGTCCACCCGGTAGGTGCGGGCAGCTCCCAGCCCCGTGTTCAGGAAGAGGTTCTGGAAGTAGCCGGCGGCGCAGGCCAGCACGGCCTTGTGCGCCGCGAAGGAGCGTGTCCCCACCAGGATGGTGACGTCGCACATGGTCTCCGACAGCCGGCACTTGTTGAGCTCCTTCAGCAGGTTGTTGGGGTGGTTGGTGCTGTGCAGCTTGATCCTCATGCCCATCTTAGCAGCTGCTCAAGGGGCCCTCTCCTGGTCGGCTTCCTCTTCACGCATTCATGGGCTGCGGGAGCAGGAGGCGCGCAGCAGCGTGTCCCCACCAGGATGGTGACGTCGCACATGGTCTCCGACAGCCGGCACTTGTTGAGCTCCTTCAGCAGGTTGTTGGGGTGGTTGGTGCTGTGCAGCTTGATCCTCATGCCCATCTTAGCAGCTGCTCAAGGGGCCCTCTCCTGGTCGGCTTCCTCTTCACGCATTCATGGGCTGCGGGAGCAGGAGGCGCGCAGCATCCAGCACCTGGCAGGGCAAGGGGCTCTGGAGAGAGGAGAAGGGGAAAATGAGAACAGGAGACGCTGGAAGGAGAACGGGAACAGACACAGGGACATCGTCCTAACCTGGGAAGAAACATCCTGCAAATTTCACACTTCCCTAACAAGCAACGGGGAAACAGCAGAGCCGCTCCGGTGGAGAAGGGTTCAAACCTCTCCTGTAGTTTCCAAGGCCGATTCCGCAGGGGAAGGATGTGAAAAGGCGAACCAAAAAGCCTCTCACTCTGCCAATAAAGGCCTGAAGTCCCCAGCTCTAGGCAGGCAGGAACACGGGTCCTTCCGGAACCATGGGATAACCCTGCTACGGGATATGGAACAGCCTCCTGCATCTTGGGCAGTTTTGCCTCCGGGTCTCTGCTTTGCAGGCAGCTTCACCAGCTATTTCCATGTCAGATTCCTCCTGTATCCCACACATTAACTTGCCTTTTCCAGTCAGGCCTTCACTTTGGATTCTCCACAACGTGCCAGCGCCTTCAGCTCCCGTGGGATTTCTCCTCCCTGTGCAAACGCATTTCGGGCCACTTTTACCCAGGAATTTGTACAGGATTCCCAGGCCAGCACTAGGCACTTGGCTAATGACACCTGCACTTCCCAACCGGGCAATTCCTTCCAGCTTGTCCAACTTGGTCACCCTCTCCCATTTACAAAAGCACTTCCAGGCTGGCTCACGGCCAGCTCCAACACTTTGGGAAAACAACGTTAAAATAAATAAATAAAAACACCCCAAAATACCTTTAGAAAAGCTGAGTTTGGTGGAAAGCTCCGCTTTAACGGTCCCATTTTGGCAGAGCAGTTTCCCTACCGAGGCAGCGATTCAGGGCAGAGGGGGCTCGTCCCGAGTGCCGTGAACCCGGCGGCTTTGACCCCCCGAGGCTCATTTCAACATCGGGAGCCGTATGCCAAATTTACCAAATAACATCCCTAATCCTCTTCCTCTCCTCCACCTGCACCGAAGCGTTTCCATGGCACTAACAGCAAACCAGGACCTTCAGCCCTGCAACCCGATCCCGACTTTTTTAGGACACGTTCAAAAGGGAGGAAAAAGGCCCCGGAGCGCGAGGGCAGCCTGGGGAGCCCTGGGGGCCCCTTGTGCTCCTGCTTCCCGGCAGGGTGATCCCTGCCCGCTCCAGAGGCTCCAGGGGGAGGATGGAGACCCCCGGGGTGGGGGGGATGGCAGGGGGACCCCCCCGGCCTCTCCCGCGTGCGGCGTTTTCTGCCATAGAGCCACGGGCCGGGGTTAGGGATGGATGAGGGAGGGAAGAAGGGGGAAAGGGGAAGGTTGGAGGGTGGGATGGAGGTGCCGGACTGGGGGGGAGGGCAGTTAATTAATAGCCCCCAGGTGGTGGTGGGGGGGCTCCAAGCCCAGACAGGGGACACCAGG